CGTTCCTACAGCCCCAACAGCTCCTGGCGCTGCAAAGTCTGCGCCAAGGAGGCGTGAGTACCCAGGGACAAGTGCCAGGGACCTTCTGCATGCTCCTCCTGTCCCCTTCCTCTTCCCAGCCACCCCAGCTTGGTGCCCCATGGCCAAGCTTTCCTAGCCCAGCTGGTCTTCTCCAGCGCAGGGCAGCTGTCTCTGCTCTCACTTCCCGGGGTGGGCACCCACGGTTGCGTGATGGAGAGCTGGTCTTCCAGCGCAGGGCAGCTGTCTCTGCTCTCACTTCCCGGGGTGGGCACCCACGGTTGGGTGATGGAGAACTGGGGTCATGCCTCACTTTTGGCTCTCCTTCATGCCCACTCTGCTCCTTTCCCCCCCCGACTTAGCCCCAGCATCCCCCCGTGCCCCTCACATAGCCTGTTTCAAGCACCCTAGGTTTCTTCCCTCCTGGCCTCCCCTGTCCTACAAAACCCATCCTGCTCCTGTCTTTGCTGGGATGGCCTATTGTCTGCCCAGTGCATCATCTCTTCCCAGCCACCTGCCAAATGTGCCCACTGCACTCTCCTTGCCTGGTGGCAACACCGAGGGTGGCTTTGGGGTGCAGGGAGCAGCCCCCCACTGCCCCTGACTGCCCCCCACCACCTCCCTGCCCTGCAGCGAGCTGAAGAAGACGACGGGCGACTGGTTCTATGACCAGAGGGTCAACCGCTTTGCCAACCGGCTGGGCAGTGACATGGTGCGGCTATCCCTGCGGCACAGGTCGGCAGGTAGGGATGCCGCAGCGATGCCTTCTCCCACAGCTTGGCCCTCCAGGATGCTCCAGCTTTCCCTGGTGCGCCTCTGCCCAGCAGAGCTGGCTGGGAGCAGCTCCTGCTCCAGGCGGTGGCCTTGGAGCAGCGGTCCTCCTCATGCCTTTCTCCTCCCAGCCAGCAAAAGAGAGACCGTAGGACAAACCCTCCTCCAGAAAGCCCAGCTTGGGGAGCCCAAAAGCTCCTCTGCAGCCCGGCAGCAGAGCCCCCCGGCATCCCAGGAGGGGCCCAGGTGAGGATCCCTGCCGTCTCCCCCACTCCGGGTGCCAGCCCTCGCCTGCTGCAGGGAGGGGAGGGACGGTGACGCCCTGCTTCCATCATTGGTGGCGCAGAAGCTCGCTCAGACCGGCCTCCTCGCCAAACAGGACATACCTGTGGTTTTGTTTGTCTGCAGCATGTTTCTGGATGCCTCAGACCCTCGGGATGGTAAAAGTGACACAGAGTCCATGGAAAACATGAGCCTGGATGGCTACAGACCTAGTCCCGGTGGCGTGGGGGGCAGGTGAGGGGCTCCCTGGGTGGTTTTGTCCTTGGCAAGGCTGGTCCAGTGGAGGATGAGGACCTTTGCCTCAAGGGCGTCTTTCTCGGTCTAGTGAGGGGGAGCTGGCTCCTCTGGCTGGGCTGAAACCTGTCCCCAGGCGGGCAGATCCTCGGTGGGGACACAGCGCTTCCCAGCCAGTGCCTGCTCTCCCAGCCGTGCCCATGGCCTGGGACAGACCTTACTGTGTTCTCCACAGGAGTAACTCCCTGGAGAGAGCCGCCCCTCTCCGAGACGGAAAACAGGTTGCTGCCTCCAGCCTGACCCTCCCGCTCCGCTCCAAAAACACGTTCTCGGATGGACGGGTGCGTGGCCGCTGCTCTGGCGGGCTCAGCCCTGTCTGGGGGCATGGGGCTGGGAGCCCCATGGGGTGCCCAGCCCTGCCCTGCTCTGAAGGGACCCTTCCTCCCCAGGATGCCGCAGTGGGGAGCCGCAGCAGCGCCTTGGTGGACGAGAATGAAACGATATTCAAGAAGAACCCCCGGCGGGTGGTGAGGCCTGCAGGTGAGAGCTGCGTGGGTGCAGGGGGGGAGTTTGTTGCTGACATGGCAGGGGGTGGGCGTCTGCTTCTCCCTGGGCTGTGCTGGGCTTTTGGTGTGAATGGGAGAGGCTGGGGCAGCCCCTGGGAGGAGGGAGCA